CCCTAATTAAGTTAATAACAATGTACCTACCTATATAGTTTAAGTTTAAAAACTTTGGCTCTCAAAAGAAATTTCAATCATTGTGCTGTTGATATTTGGCTCTGTTGACTGATGACTTTGCCGACCACTGCCCTAAGGTTATGCTATGCCTCCAAAAGTGTAGTGAACAGAAATAGATACTATTCCTTGGCTGTTATCTTACCACAGTGGAGTAGAATAGAAAAGTCTTCTTTTGTCCCAATGCTATGTCAATCAATGTGGCCTACCTTTATTGACTAATATATTGACTTTAGAGTCACATGAAATATCTGAATTTTTCTTAGAAAAAGTTTAAAATCGAATATTTATGAGCTTCCATATTTTACATTTTAGACAGTGCTTAGGAATAAGTCTATTTCTTAAAATTTGTGATTCATAACCATATTAGTAATCCATAAATCAGATATCTGTGTTGTTGAAATGTTATGTCCAAGCAATTAGGGGATGTGCTGAACAAGAAGAGTAAGAGAGTCATAACCAAGCCATGAGAAACCTTGAGCTAGGTGGCATCACTCTATTGGTTGGCACTATTACAGCAGTGTTACTTAACCAATTATAACTACCACATCATTTTTCCATCATCCACACCCCGTTTTGACATCTTGTCCACTACCTTTCCTGTTCTGTTACAGAACAACTTTGTCAATGAAACAAACAAGCTTTGTTTGACATGGCCATTTTTAACACAGCTTAATTTGTTTTTTTTCAAGATAGGTTAATGCTTTCTGATAAAATTAAAAATCAAGCCAGTCAGGATTCTAATTACTGATGCATAATCATGGATCTTGGGTTTCAGAACCCCTGTTTGTAGCTGTTTGGATAAGACAAACATAGGACATAGCAGGCAAACATTCTTGGGCCAAAAACATGCTGATTAGTTTTGTTTTGTTTTTAAATGAAAGGCTATATATTTTTATGTATGGGGGTTTCCATATACATATTGCCTTTGCTAGTAATACATCTGTAAAAATACATTATATGTAGTATACTAAATGTGTCCCTCCATGGTTAGGGGCTATCAGTGTACTCACATTGACTGATCTACCACATCTGAAGTTTACCTTATTAACCCAGATTTTCAAATTGTTATATAAGGCAAATAGCACCGCTCTACAAATATTCTTCTCTATGAATTACTAAGAATTCCTTCCTTGTCCTTTATTATTCCTGATGGGACCAAGTGGACATTTTCATAGTTTTAGTTTGACAATTTTATTCCTCCATACCATCTAGCATAACTACTCTCAGCTTATTTTGTATTTCTCTTCCCATATGAGATAAACTCTTCAACTAACAGTTCCAAATCTTAGGACATGATTCAAAATTTTGACTTGGTTCTTGGACATTATCATTCCTCAACCACATTGCTTTCCGTGCCATCCTTTCTTATCTTCCATTTTCATTGGTAGGAAAAAAAAAAAGAGAGAAAACTGAGAAATAAAATGAAATAAAAAAAACAGAGGGACACTCAGGAGTGGCTGAAGCGAGCAGAGGGGAAGTCAAACACGCATACTTACGGAGCTGCCCAAGCCGAGCTTTTTCTTTTTTCCCAAACAGACGTCCTATCGAAGACTTGATTCCCTTCTTCTTGGGGGCCTTGTGAAGGGAGTCTTGGCTGCTGTTGGCACTGCCGAGCCCAAAGCTGTCCGGCTCCAGGGAGGCAGCCAAACTACTGCAAACCACAAAGGAGGGCAAGTGCTCATTTTAATGCAACATCCACAAGGTGCGTACACAAGACCTGCTTCCTTTATAAAGGTATGAAAGGAGAAACAGGTAGGCTTCTGGAGTTTTCTCCCTTCCTGCTCGCCTTTCCTCTTAGTCACACTGAAGTATGGTTTCACATCCTTGGGTACCAGAGCCTCCAAATTTTCTCTAAAAAATTTATTTTTGTTCCAAATGATCTTCTCCCTTATTTTTTGTACAACCTCAAGCGAATCAGTAAACATAGGCGGCTTTATTAACTACATGTCAAATGACCTTCTATTATTTAGCACTTGACCCTTTACCTATTTTTTTTCTCTGAGTGCTTTTAAAATCTCAAACCTAATAACCTATGATAAGAAATTTAAATACAACTAATAATGAAGTCTAGTGGATGGTTTCATTGGATTTTCATCTAGCATTCTTTCTCTCAGTTTTGGAACCCAATTCACTCAATTTAAAATCATCTGGTTGGGATTTAGAAGTAACAAATCATATACCCAAGTGATCATTGTATACTTTTTCTTGTAATCCTAAGGTATTCTTTGATGTACATGATAAACTGAAATGACTTTCAAGCAGTTGGTCTAGGTTCCATTCCTGGTCAGTGTACTTGACACTGTATTAATAGGAGAGGTGCAATAGATATTGCCCTCATTCTTTTTTCTACAGCTATTCAATTGACAATGACATAATAAATTATTTAACATTACTTACTCATTTTAACTAATTTGAGTCCACAATCCCTAAACTCAAAAACTACTGCTTTTCTTATGTGACAATATAATTCATTTTTTTGGACAGTGAAAGAAGTATCTATTTTGAAGCATTAGAAATTAAAAATAAGCACAACAGAAATAGTGCTTACCAGAACAAAAAGCTCTGTTTTCAAAAATATTTGTTTTAAAACCCATAGTATTTAGAAGGCAAATTCTTATTTAAAGTATTAATCATTGTTATGTTCAGTTGTATCAATTATGTATCTAGATATGCTGCAATTGATGACAGAAAAAGGACATACAGTTAAGATTAAATTGCATGCTTAGATTTATTTATGTCATTAATTATTATATAGATCTTCTTGAAATTTTTTAGGTAGATGGAAAGGACAATATGAAATGTCATTATGACAGGTGGTATATTTCCTGATATAACCCTATCTTTTCCTTTAATATTTTGTAAATGTGTGTATGTGTGTGTGTGTGTGTGTGTGTGTGTGTGTTCCTTTCTAAGAACTTTCTGCCTGAGTAGCAGCAGCACCCAAAGGGTGGTGTGCCTAGTCTGCTAAAGGGAAATGGGGTACCATCATGGACTTTTCAGACCTTAATTACTCTTACACTCCAAGCCAAATGTATAATCCTGTCCTTGATGGGAGCAGAATATGCCACGTTGGGATGTACCACTTTGGCCTGGGGATTATTTAAAGCTGAAGACAGCCAGAGTCCAGCACTCCCAAGAGAAGCTTTATACCTCCCCCTTAATTACCCCAAAGAAGTTAGGTCAGGGGCCTGGACCAGGAAGAGAGCTATTAAGAGAGAAAACTTTTTATATCAGAAAGACTTGTCTGCATAGCATGGCGAACATTTACTTCCAAACATAAGATCTCATTTTCTATGAATTGTCTTCCTCCCCTTTGAAGCTCACCCTTAACCCCTTCTTCTTAGCTCAGGGCAGTATGTAAGCCTCAATATAAGACCGACTGCCAGGGAATCTCCTAATTTTATGGGGCTCCCATATGAGTGAAATATGTTGTTTTTTCCTGTTAATCTGTCTAATGTCAATTTAATTTAGAGCAGCCAAAAACCTAGAAGGAAAGAGATAGAAACTTTTCTGGCCCTACATCCTAGAATCCCTGTAGTTTTTGTTACTATTCCTATTAAGTTCTTCATCTAGCCTGATTCTATTTCAAAAGAAAATATACACAAAAAAATAGAAGAGCTATTCTTTTTTTTCTTCTATTAAATTTATTGGGGTGACATTGGTCAACATGATCATACAAGTTTCAGGTGTGGGTTTCTATGTTACAAGATCTGTGTGCCCACAACCCAAAGTCAAATCTTCTCCTGTCACCATATATTAGGACCCCCTTCTCCCCACCTCCCCTTCCCTCTGGCAACCCCCACACTGCTGTTTGTGTTCACTAGTTTCAGTTTTATATCCCACCCTTGAGAGAGAAGAGCTATTCTTATAAGTATTGGCTAATAACAGCACCACAAATGTAAAGTCAATTTTAAAACTAAAAATTTGATCTCAGAATGAAAATTTGTTCTTTTCACAAATATTGTGAAAATTGTGATATTGCTTCTATTTATTTCACAAGTTGAAATAAAATATGTTATATAAAATTTTAAGCAGTCTATTTGACCACACTGAAAGGAAGAGGGATGCTTTCAGGAGGAGCGCGGGCACTGCGTCCTGTGCTGGGAGAGCCATACCTTCTGGCCTCATTGTGGTAGGAAGAAGGGAGGGTGTGAGTCATCCTGATGGTCCTAGGGGTCGGGGGAGGGGAAGTTTCACATTTAATTGTTGCTTTATCCTCCCGACCATCTTCTTCCACCACTGCAATCTACAAGTAAAAACAATATATTCAGATGAACTCTTTTTAAATTTCAACTGAAATGAATAAAAATGGAGAATCATCAAGGCAAGGCTATCTGAGGAAATCTAACATAAAAACAATCCAAAAAACTTGGGGCACATAGGTTTTACATATATAAATTCACATTATTAAACAGTGTTAATTTAATAACTCTAAAAGTGTAGTAGATACTCCAGTTAAAGTAAATATGGACATGCTATAAAAATATTTAAGAGTAAATAAATACCAAAGATCAATATGCAGGTGTTATAGTCACAATTAGCTAGTCAATATTAATAACAGGAAAGGAGCAAAGGGGAGGCCAAACATTATAAGCATGATCACCTGGGAAGTTTCACCAGGAAGCTGCAACTTCACACTCCCCAGGGAACCACCTGTCCATTCCCTGCAGTTCACGGGAGAAAGGGACCCAACAAAAGGGGAGGTGGGTGCTTGTGCAGTGAAGTCAGTGTGACATAGCTTGCCTGCCTATCTAACCTGAGAAAAATAATTGGCTAGGAGGTGGAGGCACTGCAAGCACAGGAAATTCTTAAGGTTTAATTGGCTAAGCTCCCAGTTATAATCCTCTCTCTGTTGTCCTCTTGCCAGCTCTTGAGCTCTCTTGCTAGGTGACCCACACTCACCTGTGTGCTAGCCTGCCATGTGTCCTTAAAGCAGCAACATGGCCCATGGCCATGTGGACCCCACATCCAATGGAATGCAGCTGGGAACACAAGCTAAGTTAGCCGGATCCCGGACTGGACTGTGCTTTAATATGGAGCAGAAACTCTGGGCCGTGGCTTTAATCCTAGCCTCACTGAGAACAAGATTGGACTTTTTCCATGGCAAGAGAGAAAAATGGAACCTTGGAAACCTAGATGCTTTAATTCCACAGAAATAAACGTCACTCATCCTCCGTGCAAGTCTCAGGAAATTCCTTTCCTTTTGACATTGCGAGAAATCCATTTCCACTGGCAACAATAGGCGGGGACACAGAGGGCACCCAGTCAACAACACAGGGCCTATGCAAAAGCTATTTTGGAATCTATTTTAATATACCAGAATATAAATAATTTACTAAAATTAGAGCAAATTTACTAAAAATGCATAGTCAGGTTAGCATAACATAGAAATATTTTCAGTGGGGAATTTTTGAAGTGAGAATGCATATTGTCAAAATATAACTTTATTGCCTACTTCAATATTTATGCTCTTGATTTCATTCTGAACAGGAAAGCAGTGTATTAACTTTATTTGCATATTTTCTTATTCTTGATGCTCTGGCGCCTGGGGCCATCCTGAGCCAGGAGAGACTGCCTCTCCCAGGGCCAGCTGAATCCTAGAGAGAGCAAACCACTTCCCCGGAGTGGGCCTTCCACATGAAAATCAATCAATCCAGATCTGGATCCCATACCATCTTATCTTTCTGCTCTTACACTCCAGGAAGCATTATTCCTAGGCCATAATCATCCACGATAGGCATTAAACAACTAGAGACAGCCCCAATCCCTAGAGCCCACCAAAATTATTCAAAACAGCCAATCCTAACACTACTTGCCTTACCTCGCCTTGTTTTCCCCACAGAAACCAGAATAAAGTCTCCTGCCCATGTTTTCCCACTCTCTCTGTCTCCTGACCATACTGGCTTCCCTGTGGCCCTACATCCCCGGGTGAGCCCATCCTCTTGGAAAATTTAACAAGTTATCTTTTCATTGCAGTTGCCTCCTGACCTGTTGGCCTCACTGTACCTGAATAATAGTGAGACCTACATTTACTGTTGTTCTGGTAGAGATAGTAAACTAGATAATTTCTGTACCAGCAGTGCTCTAAATCTTCTGTAGAAAATCAGGATACTTAGTCCCCATAATCTAATCATTGACCCAAAAAACCACAAAAGAAAATTTTTTGTTTTAAAACATTTGCTCTTACGGTCATATTTAAAGAATTCAATAATGCTTAAATACTTTTGATATTTCTTTTTTATGTTACTACAGTATTTAAATTACAGGGAATATAATTTTAAAGCTCTCATAGGAAAAAAACACACACAATATTTAACTCATAGTCATATAAAAGGTATTTACAGTACCTTTCTCCGGTGTTTCCTTAGATCACTGGGCTGAGATTGGCAGCAATAAAAGCAACATAAAACACAACTAGTTAATGATGATCACTTAACCATGTTACAAATTTAAATAGTATCTATAATTTGACTTTGTTTTTTTATTCCATTTTTTCCTAGATAAGTGTGTTTACATTTACTTGTTACAATCCTTATAAGAGCACTCCTCTTGGGAGTCACTTTAGAGAGGGGGCTTCCTGGGTGGCATGGGTGGGGCATGTCACCTGTGCACAGGCATCAGATAGGAGACATGGGCCCTAGGAAGCATAAAGCACAAATAGAGCGAGCTAGCCAGAAATAAATATGGAACTAAATCCTCCCCGTAAAATATAAATGGCCATGAAAAGATTGTGCATAAACACATATTCAATCCATATATATGGAGTTTACAAACACTGCCTTTGCCCCAGCTGTGCAGAGCCTTGGGCCTCCTTTGGGCAGGTGGGCTGTTCCTGGGGGATCTCAATCTTCCTGGACTCTAACGCATCCCCCGTTCCCAAGCACCACAAGCTCAGCCCTCAGTATAACATGTTTCTGGAGCTGCTATTTTCTTGTCAACCCACTTTTACAGAATATTTTATAAAGCTAATTCTTTATGATTCCATATGAACCTTAGTCACTTAATATCTTTATTGCTTTTTGTTATGAAAATAAAATAAGTTTTGTTAAACTATTCCATATACTTTACATTTTAGTTGTTATTAGAAAATGGGCAGGTTTACCCCATCCAGTGTTCTAATTAGATATTACTAACATGTCACTTATGCTTATGTATTCATTGTGAGGTAAAAGTGGATACGCTAATAAAAATAAATGCAACAAAACAATAAACATGATTGCAAAACATATAAACATAGACAACCCAAACAATTACAATGTCTTTGCAATTTATACTTTCTGTCCCTAAAATTTCTAATGTTTCTTTGAATATTCAAATATAAATTATACCCAACAATATTATTTTTCCTCCACTATTTTCTACATGTGAAAGAAAATCTGTTTCACTATTGTTATTTGATGACAATGTTTCATTAGGTAATAAAGATTTTCTGGATTTCATTTCTTGTTTATCTAGGTCAGATATTCAACATTTTAAATACTTGTTAACCCTCAGAAAATGTTCTAAGTAATTTTAAATACTGAAATTATAGTGTGATAATGTTCATTTACCACTGATTTACTTATAAATGACTACTCAAGAAAATTCCTAAGAGCACCGGTACCCTTGTCACACAAATGCCACATCTAAATATTAAAAATATTTTATCTTATTACTATAAAAATAATAACACTATCAAGGGTTATAATGCTAGTGTTCATGAAAATACTTAAAAATTCAAAACACTATGTTGTAAAAATGTAAGTAAATAATAGTAGTACAGAAATAACCAGTTTCTTTGCCTTGAATGCTGAATAAATTATTCTCTATGGACCAAGATTCTTACTTAGCTGTAGTTAACAAGTAGGTCATCAATATGTCGCATGTACTAAACAGGCAGAAACTAAGCCAGAGACAATATCATTTTAGTTAATAAAATCAGAAGGATGTTTAGATTTCTAAAATAAGTAGATCATAATGTAGCTCCATTATTGCTTAGTATATCTTAGTACATTTGCTAAAAGTTTGCTCTGTATCTGGTGGGAGTTGGTTCTGATTAGTTGTTCTTTTTATCTGAGTGGCTATTGTCTGTGCTTCTATTTTTAATATTAAGTATGGAAGTCAGCAGAGATTAGAGGACTCACTGGCTTAATGTCTTAAAGAGATAAATGTTTCCTTTTTTTTTAAAAAAAAATTACCATTTCTCTTATATAGATTTTATTGCATGGAAGTCCCATAACTACAAAGTTTGCTGTGGGCAATATTGCCTAACCATATAAATAGTTTTATATTTAAGTTCTCAATTGCATAATCAAAGAAAGAGATACCTACATTTATACGCATAACAGAAATTTCATCAAGGTAAAATAAAAACTTAAAAATCAATTATTTATAAGGTAGTTTTTATCTATATAATTCACTAGCCATATCACAAATGATTGCAACATATTTAGTTTAAAATGTCATTAGAAAGTGAATTAAACATCTTGGCAATATATTACACACACACACACACACACAGCCACTGTGAACTTTATAGACCCTTCACAACCTTCTTACCAGAAACACAATATACATTTCAGATTTTTCTGTAGTATGATTAATTTATCCTCCATTTGTTACGTTTGTGCTGGATTTTACGGTGCATCAACTATTATTTTACCTATTTGCCTTTTAATTAACCTCTTCCATTTACTTATTATATAACCTAGGGAAAGTTACACCTATGTAGATTACATATCCTCATCTCATAATGGGGTTAATAACTGTACCTACCCCATAGGTTGCTGTAAAAAGAAGAAATAATAAAATACACAGAAAGCCCTTAGCATAGAGGAAACACCCAATCAGCATCAACTAATGTATCATGAATCCTAGCGGCAGCAAAGGGTCTTTGGACGCGTCAGCATACCAGCGTCATGACGCCCATCCGATCCATTTCCCTGGCAGGACTTCGCGGTGTGAGCTTTGGCGTTGAATGTCCACTGGGGGGCGATGAGCTGGCCAGTGAAGAAGCGGTAACGGAGGCAGTGATGGAGGTCCCTGGGTGGACTCGCGCTAAATTCAGGCCTTCCAGGCTCACACTCGCTACTCTATTCTCAATTTCTTCAGCACGTAACTCTGTAGATTCTTTTTCTTCCTGAATTAGCCTGAAAGGTACAGTTTAATTTTGATCCATTATATGCTCTCATAATGCTAATGAGTCAATAAAAATTCTGTGAATATTTTATATCAAATCTAGTAGTTCCATCTTTTTTTCTCTAGGGAATATAACTTTCATTAAATTCAAGAGACTTCCTGGCTGAAATTTAGAAATCACTTTCTAAGTGATACATAATTCCTCTCCGCTTCTATACTATAACCTACAAAACCCCTTGCCTGCATAATTAATGTATGCCATTAATCCTAAACTTACATTTGAACTCCTGCGCTGATAAATGAGTTTTAGAAACTCAGATTCCAACAAAGTTATTAAATCTTACCTCTAACCCAATAAAAAAGTATAATTGATAAAATCCTAAATAAATGGTCATTTGTAATTTTCATTTGGACAAATAAATGACTAAGTCATTTTTTAAACATTAAGGTACTTAGCCAAGTCACCTTTGAATAAACACCATGCAATTTAATAATGTGGAGATGGCCTTAGCTTGTTCAGCTCAGTGGATAGAGCATTGTGGCCTGCCGAATGAAAGATCCTTGGGTTGCATGCTCGATCCCCAGTAGGGGGCGTGCAGGAGGCAGCCAATCAATGATTTTATCTCATCATTGATGTTTCTATCTCTCTCTTCCTCTCTGAAATCAATAAAATATATTTTTAAAAAATGTGGAGATGACAGATGATAGATAATTATAAAATTAAACTCTTGCTATAGATCCCTCTGAGATGACAAAGCTTAAATAGAAACAAGCTTTAAGAAGGTGTATACACTGAGTGGCCAGATTATTATGACCACCTGACGTTTGTAGGCAAATTAGCTATAATTTCTCGCTGAAGTTGCTAGAGGGCCAGACCATTATAAATAGGGAAGCAGGTTGTTTACCACAACAGTAGAAGTGATTTTTTACTATATACTATATATATATATCCCACCTTCAAAGGCTGTTAAATTGCATTGTTTACTCATAGTAGAAGTGATTTTACTATATACTACATATATATATCCCACCTTCAAAGGCTGTTAAATTGCATTGTTTACTCATATCTTTAGAAAAAAATCACTCCTACTGTCGTGGTAAACAACCTACTTCCCTATTTATAGTGGTCTGGCCCTCTAGCAACTTCAGTGCAAAATTATAGCTAATTTGCCTACAAACGTCAGGTGGTCGTAATAATCTGGCAACTCAGTGTGTATATACAAAGACAAAGAATAAAGAGCTTCTGCTGGGTTGAATAAAGTTCCTATTTAAGTTGGACCTATACATATTTTACATATTGTCATAATGAAACCATATGCCAGTATAATTTGGTTGAAAAATATGGGGACAGAAACCTCCTGAGTTTTCAGAAGACAGTTCCTTATAAAACTGCACATACCCTTACCATATGATCCAGTAATCATGCTCCTTAGTATTGGACACCTCTTACTGTCCCCCCTGCCAGCCTGGTTGCCTCTCACGGCCTCCTCGCTGGCCTGATCGGCCCACTAAGCCTGCTGTTCGGTCATTTGGTCATCCCTCATTAACCCCCATGACAGCCTGGTTGTAGGCAGCCATCTTGTGAGGCAAGAAGTTGAAAAATTATGTCCATACAAAAACCTGTACATGGATGTTTAGAGCATCTTTATTTAAAACTAGAGGCCCGGTGCACAAATTCATGCAAGGCTGGGGTCCTGAGAGGGTTGGGGGGCCAGGATGCGATCAGCCCTCCTGGAGGGCGGTAGGACGCTGAATATTAGTCAGCACTAAAAAGAAATGAGCTATCATGGCATGAAAAGACATAGGAAAACATGAAATGCACATGAATAAAAGAAAGAAGCCAATCTGAAAAGGCTACATATTCTATGATTACAACTATATGGCACTCTGGAAAAGGCAAAACTATGGAGAGCAGTGGTTGCCAGGCTTTGGGATGGGGAGAAAGATAAAATGGGTTGCCAAAACTTTGAAGCAACCAAGATGTCCTTCAATAGGTAAATGGATAAATAAACTGGAATATTAGTCAGCACTAAAAAGAAATGAGCTATCATGGCATGAAAAGACATAGGAAAACATGAAATGCACATGAATAAAAGAAAGAAGCCAATCTGAAAAGGCTACATATTCTATGATTACAACTATATGGCACTCTGGAAAAGGCAAAACTATGGAGAGCAGTGGTTGCCAGGCTTTGGGATGGGGAGAAAGATAAAATCTGCAGAACACAGCAGATTTTAAGGCAGTGAAAATATGCTTTGATACCATATTGATAGGTAGATGTCAATCTACATTCTTCCAAACACATAGAATGCACAACAGCAAGAATAAACTATAACATAAACTATGGACTTTGGGTGAATATGATGTGTCAATTTAGGTTCATTAGTTGTAATAAACATACTACTGTGAGGGAGGATGTTGATTACGGGGAAGAATATGCATGTATGGAGTCAGAGGAAATATGGGAAAATCTCTGTACTTCCACCTCAGTTAAACTTGCTGTGAATCCTAAACTGCTCTAAACAAATACAGTCAATAAAAATATTAAAAAGAAAATTTTATCTTAGTTATAATTTTTACTTACATAAAGAATTAACCTCTGTTACTTTGAAGTTTATTTTCATGGGTGCACTTTAACTTGAGTCAAAGATCAGAATCTAAAATAAAGGCTTTGTCAAATATCAGAGTATAGCATCATTAATGCATGAAGCACAAGACAATGGAAAAACTCCTCTTAAAAATGAATTTTTTGTACATTTAAAATGATTGGTGGATAATGACTTCAGAAAAATCTGGTGATGTGGTTCTGTTATACAAAGAACTTGTTGTTATTAACTTTAGTATTCTATTAATTGCAAAGGAGAGTCAAACCTAGAGAAATAAGTTGAGTAAGAGGCAAATCAAAGTTTAGTCAAACAGAAAATCAAATGTTGCCTTGTTGTTCAATTTATTTAAAAAAAATAAATATCAATTCATTGATCTTTCTAATCATGATGTATACGTGGAAAACAAATGGAATAACAAAATAGATTCCCTTTAAAATATCCTAGTGTGTTGGGAAGGGATTCTCATAGGAATCATAGACAAGCTGAATGAATAAATAAAATGACAAAAGTAAGTTGGACCAATAGAGGCTAACTATAGATGAACAGATTAATGACTATTCCAGTGATAAATGAGTTTAAAGTACTTTGATCTCTCTTGTTAAGAGAATCAGTGAGTCCAGTGAATGAGCCTCAGTGGTTGAGCATTGACCTATGAGCCAGGAGTTTGATTTCTAGTAAGGGCACATGCCCAGTTCACAGGCTTGATCCCCAGGGGGCATGCAGGAGGCAGTCCATCAATGATTCTCTCTCATCATTGATGTTTCTATCTCTCTCTTCTTCTCCCTTCTTCTCTGAAATCAATAAAAATATATTTAAAAAATAAATAAAAATAAAATACAAATGTGAAATCATGAGAGACACTCCCTTCCCCAAAGACCCTTTTTTCTTCCCCTGACTCTAAAATAGCAAATCA